TGTATCCTTCAGGAAGTGACAAGGAAAGTCTGTATATATTTGGTACAGATGCAACTTTTAAAAAATATTTTCCATTCTTGGTTGGTTGAAACTATGGATTCAGAACCGGAGGAGTGTACTTTGCTGGGAAAAATGAAGAAGGAATCCTGAATATATAGAAGAGAGAAAATACAGCAACTACTTGCTCAATCCGGGAGACTTCATTATTGAGAATCAATGTTCTTTCCAGCCTATTCAATTTAAACTGTTCAGCAGTTATAGAAGATCCTTCCCTGCAGGAACTGTTATTACCCTCATATTGTGTAGTCTGCTCACTGGACTGGGGAAATCTTATATTGTGTTTACAAATGCGAAAAATGAAGTGGTAAAAGTAGGTGCTTATCTGAATAGATCAAGCAAAGCAATTTACATTTGCCTCAATTACCTGAACAGTATATTCAAATAGTGCTTATTCTGGGTGGTGTGCGTGTGTATGTGGTAAGTGTGTGTGTGTGTGTGTGTGGTGTGTGTGTGTGTGTAAATATGTAATTTGTCTGTCTAATTATTTTCTAGCTTATGTACCTGTATAATGTAATCTGAAAAACCCATTTGATTAACTCAAACATGGAAAATTTATTAGTGACCATTGGACTAGCATTGATTTATTTCAACTGGTCTAATATTGGGATCTTATGTAATCATAGCAGTAAGAAGATTAAGGGATCTTTTTGACAACATAAGAAAATCAAGGTATCATTGAACTAGAGGACATTCTGAAAATTAAAAAAAAAACAAATAATAAATAAATGGAAACAGTCTCCTTTTTGACCTTAACAAAAGTATACAAAGCTTTTATCCTGGAATTGCTGCCTTGTAATCAGAAGAACTTTAAAGAAACAGAAAATAGAAATGCTGTACTCTGTAGTCTTCAAAAGTTTTAGACATTAAAAACAGAATAAAACAACTTTTTATTTTTACAGAAGTAAAGAATGGCTAAGCTGTTACCCTACCATCTAAGGACATACATTTTTTTGTCCCTGTAATCATAGAAATCTATTTTTTATATTAAAAGATAAGTCAGAGATGGAATTTATCATTTATCTTGAACTGTTAGTTAGTTTTTAGTCCTTTGGGTTTGATTTGGAAAAACAGATAACAAAGATGGAGGTACTTCTAACCTCTTTAAACCTAACTGCTTCCTACAGGCCAAACTGAGAAAAAGAAATATGTACAGATTATACACTTTCTAATTTAGGCAATTTGAAAGAGAACCAGCAGAAAATTATGAATTGAACATTTACAATGTATTCACAATCTGGTTCTTTACCCCCTTGTTTCCAAACACATCTCTGAATAATATTTTTAAAAGGTAGTGTTCTGAAGCCCAAAATGGACAGTTTAGAAACACAGATGGAGTTTAACATTTGAACATGTATGTATTTACATCAGATTATGTTTGTCTCAGGTCATTCACTATTTTTAATATAAATTGAAGGTGAAATCTCATATGTATACAGCTTATAAACTCTCTGAAAAAAGCTTATAAACTTTTGCAAGATCACAGAGTGGATTTGAAATGCTTGGTGCCTTGAAAACATTGAATTTATAAGGTTGTAAGAATAATGGTTGGAGACCAGTTATTATTTTTTCATTCTCAAAGGAAAACACAAAAAGTGTTCAGTTTGGCAACCAAGATTAAAATGACTGAGGAAGTAGAGGTTTGTCTGTGTTGTATTCTAGCCCTTTGGATAGAGTGGCCTGTTGCTTGCCAGTTGTGGCAAACAGTAGTCAATGGAAATGGGGTTACTGGTCTCCCTCCTCCATTGTTTCCAGAGCGTGACATTTTGCAGAGCTGCGAAGCAACTTGCCTCACAACTAATTTTTACTGCAGCAGGCTGTTGCCTGTTCAAATGAGTTGGTGTGAAGATTCTCTATGGACATTCACAGCCTCATCACAAGGACTAGGTTGCTGACTTTCAGATTGGCCCCAATTTCCCGTATGTAGCATATGAAAATGCTTGTGATCCAGGGCAAGCATTTCCTCAATTGAAGAATCCACAGAAACTTTTTAATTGAACTGATTTGACATAAAGTTGAGGATAAAACTGTTTGTCATATAAAGAAATGAAGTCCTCTTTTCATCTAAGCATAAAAGAGAAATAAAACCTGGAATGAAATATAGCTGACTGCAGGAAATGGAAAATCTTACAAGATGCATATTATTTGAGCTTTGTTTTATTTTAAGGCATATTTTGGGTAAATTGGGGGCAGTTTTGGCTGAGTCCACAGTAAATTATATTAACAGTGTCTTTCTCTGTCCAGTATCTGGAGAGTCTTCTGGCCTGTGGTGTTGGAACCTTTTAATTTCTGAAGAGGCATTTTGATCTAATTTTATTAATGTGTAAAATGCCTTTGTAAGTTTTTCTTTATCTCCCTCACCCAGAATGTGGCTTGAGAGAGATAGTCACAGTTTTAAGTTTGATCCACAGTGGTCAAAGATTTGCAATTCTTGTCCAAGCATGGAACTGTCATCTCCTCAAATTTTGAGTATTTCTAAAGTGAGGAGCACATTAGCACCTTCGGAATGCAGACCACTCAGATAACTTCCACTCAAAATATCCACCAATTCTACTGCAGGGCAAGGGGCAGGCTCTGTGGAACAGTCTTGGGTCTGTGTGCCCCACATGTCCTCCATAACCAATCATCCTGGTGAGGGAGAGTGGTTAAAGAGGATGCCCATAATCTCCTCATTCCCCGCCCCTTACCCCTCCTCTACTTTTTTCCCCAAAGTAAACACGTATATGCTCTGAAAGCCCCTGAGCTCTGCACCTGAGCAAGGTGCATGTGTCTCTCCTATATTGTGGACTGACAAGGCTCATCTCAGGAGTTGAGACTGATGTGGAGTATGTGAATTATGCAGAGAAATGGGCATTGGTATGCTCTCAGGGGATGCTTTGGTTCTTTTTAGTCAGACTTTGTAGATTGCTAACTGTGCAGGAATCTATTTTATGCTCTATTAGGTGAACACTGTTTAGACTCTCTTGAGAGGAAGGTTCTCCTTCATGGAGCTATGAACTACTGCATTGTGATCAGGTGGATAGCTGAGATTGAGAGGAAGAGAATGGCTGGATTCAGAAAACTGGGGCTATGGGTCTACACATTCTACACCTAAAATGTCATGAGAGTTTCTAATAACATTCAAATATTGAGTGCTTTTGAGATAAGAAGCATCTGTAGAATTGTTTTTATAGTAACATGGGACCAAACCTGGTTGTAAAAATTGCTTTTAGGTTATTTATTTTCCTCTTAAGAAAAATTTCACTAGAAATTTTAGCTCTCTCCAGAACTTCTTTTAAAATATAACAGGTTTAAATTTTTCATGTTGTTAGAAATTATGTAACATTGGGAATTATGTTGGTGCTGCCTGCTCTCTGTACTCAAAGATTTAGTGTGCCAGGGAATTTCTTTTATCAGGGCACTTCCAGAGTGTGTCTGCCAAGGGTGAAAAGTGACCTTCGTTCTTGACAGAACTAGGATACTAATTCTCCAATGGAGGAGAGATTTCATTTAAACTATTGTTTTCAACCTATTTCCCCACAAGTATTTATTACCTTATTTTTTAACTCAAAGTTGCTAAACAGAAGTCAATCGACTTGTTGCTTAAACAGCAAGTATCAAACCTAAAAACAGCTTTGCAGTAAGAAGAACAATGGGATTGAGTATCTTGAAAACTGGGTGGTCATATATTAATATATTTGCATTCACTTGATATGGACCAATGTTAATAAGAATAAACAGTCATATCTAATATTAGTCTTTCTGGTCTCTTCTACTTTCAACTCTTTCTCTGGTATACATTCAGTAAATTGTATGAAATTAGAATTTTATATATTTTATCTACATAATGTTTCACTTTTTTGAGTAATAATGATATGCACAATGGATAATTTAAAAATAAATTGTTTCCAATAAAAGTAATTCTGTGTGTGTGTGTGTGTGTGAGAGAGAGAGAGAGAGAGAGAGAGAGAGAGAGAGAGAGAGAGAGATGAGAAGCACAAAGATTCTGGTATTAAAATTTTAAGAATTCTGAAGCATTATTAACTAACTGGTAGGTCTTTTTTGTTTTTCCTACTGATGGAGGGAAACTTTAAAAGAGTCATATGAAGGTCATACTGGCATCTAGTTATAACAAAGAACTAATATCAAGAAGCAAATTTTTTTGTGTTATAAAAATATCAAAAGAGTATTGACTTGGGATTCTTTTTCTTTGGGATTTTGCTATGTATCCGTATTTCAAAGTATAAAACAATATTAACTCACCAAAATATATAATTGATGATTGCCATTAACCATTTTTGCATCTAAAGTTGGTTTGACTTGAAAATTAATATTTGCTAGGAAATTTTTGAAATTCTATCTACATTTCTTTCACACTTTAGAATGTTTTCAAGACAAAGTCTTGTACATTCGGTATCCCTTCACAAGATGAAGACAATTACTGAACCCATAATAACAACATAAACTAGACACATACTCTGCAGTTGAGCCTTGGTCTAATAAAATACAGATATCAAGGGGAAATGTCACTGAACTCAGGTTGTACTAGTCCAAGAACCCAAAGTTCAAGTACTGTTGATGTACAGTAGTTTAGAATAAAGTAATAACCTAATATCCAGAGATAATCAATATCTTTGAATTCAGCAACATGAGAATTTTGAAAATCATGATTTTTCCCCCTCAAATGGAGACTTGTGAAGTCCTCCCAGGCCTAGGGTGAGATTGTTAGGAAAAGGGAAGGCTAGCTAATAACGATGGTGGTGATGAAGCAAAAGAGACTGCAGAGGGAAGAAACCGGGATCAAAAATCACTGTAGTTTGCACTTGAACTTTGAGTGCCTTGTGAGCATGGGGATGAGGCCAGCACAAATGTGTCTTGGCTAAAAGGGATTCCGTACACTTGGGCTGTTGTGCTAAGACCTATGAAGGAAAGATACATAACAGGTGAGAGCCCGAGAGAGCTTCTCAGACATTTGCTTCTGTGTTTTACAGATTTCTTTGCAAGGGTAATAGGCCGCTGCTTCCAATATCCAAAACCATTCATAAATATCACCAAGCTACAGATGCAGTAAGGGATTAGTAAGAATATCACTCGAAAATTAAATTAATGTGTATATGTGTACATATTAGGAATATTTGCCAGATATTTCCTGTGCTGCTGAAAGGTAATTCATAACTTAAAGATAAAGTGAGCAGTGACCTTCCTTGCTATTCCCAACTGGTCACTACTAGTCTGGGGGTGATGGAAGGTGAAGGATGTGAACCAAGTGCTCCTCACTGATCACTAAGGGCAGCACTTAAAGATACAGGTATCCAACCCAATAGACCAGGTTAAAGAGCAGGAACGACGTGGGGAAAAAGACCCGGGAATACGAGTCCAGCTCCGAGATGTCTATGTGAATCCGCCCTTTCCTCCATGATCCTGATTTACATTCTTCATAGCAGCAGAAGAAGCTCTGACAGTCTTTGCCATCCAGACACTCATAGACACAGGTATCTTCAAATTCCTGCCAATACACCGAATTGTTTAAAGTGATCATAGCAGGCGGAGGTGGCCTCATATCCAGGAGAGAATAGTTCTGCAGGCACAAGAGCAATACATCAACCAATATGAAATGCAATAAAAACAGCCCAAAGTATCTCAAGCAATAGGTACCTGTTATCTCTGCCCTAGACAGCTATATTTCCCATTGTATAAGTACTTCTTCTCAAGCATGCTTCACATTTGTCACAAATATTTCAAACTATGGCCAACATAGAATTTCAATGAATGCTTCCTCAAAGTCATCATTGGCCAAACTGGGTCCTAGACTTACTCCTTTTTCTGTTGGATAATGCAGCCTCATAACCTCCTGGAATATGGTATTTCTTAGGCACCTGGGAAGCACATAATCTTTGCATTTGATGGGTTTGGACATCAAAGCACAAACTTGCCCCAGACCACACATGAGATTGGAGCCCAAAACATCTTCTCCCTCTCTCAGGAGGCTGCTCATTTCTGCTTTTTCTTACTGGTAATGAAAAGGAGTTGAAGTGGTGACAATTTTCATCGAATAGCTGAAAACAGTCCCTTTTCTTTGACTAAAGTATAAGCTCTGTCTGAAAAATCTCTCTGATTGTGTCTTCTCACTTGGTCTGGCACCTTTGTCTGTGAATTGTTCTCTGTTTTCAAGGGCATTAAACTTTTCCTCTTTAAAAAATTTTTTTCTAGTTTTGTGGAAATTTTATTTTTCTCTGTGTTAAAGGATTTTCACCCCTTCCTTTGGAAGTATCATTTCTACACCAAAGATGTCAATATTTTTTTCCCTTAGCTCCCAGCCCCTGGCTGTGTGTGAGAATGTGCTCCTTGGGCCTCAGGCTATTAGTTCTGACTTAGGTCTGTTATTCCACACGGCCTCTCTCCCTTATGTTTCAGTCGGATGCTATTTGGAAGCATTTGCTCGCTTCCCACAACTGTAAAAGTGGCTTGCCCACTAACCTTCTGTCAGAACTACCATGATATACACTTGCGAAGTACAGATAACTACAAGTCTCCTTATAAGAAAAAAAGGCTGAAATGCTCTAAATATAAGGCATTGAAAAACAGAAAACCACCTGTGATGTATGGTAGAAGGGGCCTAAAACATTCAGTGTAATTAGGGAATTGATATGGTCTAAAGGAATAAAAGTCCACTTACAAAAGAAGCTTATTATATAAGTAGCAGTTCATATCAGTGATTTAAAATTTAAGTACGTGCTTTTGAGTTATCAAAAGAGGTTATAAAACAATATATAGATCATTATTTAGTTCATATAAAGTATATGAATAAATGTTATTTGAATGCTTAGAAAAAAGTGCATACTATACCCTAATCCCTGAGGAGAAGGATTATGGTTAATTTTGTACTCTATTTTGCAAATGTTCCAAACTGGATATTTAAAAAGTAGCAGCATGTACATCACTCATGGGTCTTCAGTACATGCATATGTAAACAGGAACATCACTTTCAAATGCAAGCTAGTTTAATAAAATTTCTCAGAAATATTAGCACCTATAAAGCTATACATACAGAGGGTGTTTGTAGGCTTATACGCTCAGGAATCCATCTTGAGGAATCTGGGTGTAATAACTACAAGGAAAAAAAAGAAAGAAAAAATTAGCACACTGACATGGGCATCTGTACCCCAAATAACTCTAGTTAGAGAAGTCTTTAAGGCATGCCTAAACCAGTCCTTGTCACCTGCAGTGATGAGCTGGAGAGAAGTTGAGGGTTACATTCACATCTCCAGAATTGCTGTCTAGTGTTTTAAAGTCTTATCGAGTTAGCTATTTATATCATGTTTTGTAAGATCCTTAGGAACATGATAGCATTTTAGCACATGTTTATCTTAACATATCCTTACACTACCTCCCAGAAAATCTCTGCTATCTTTGCCACTCACCGATGTTTTCTTCTTCGTGACAGTTGGTTTTCTACAGCTTGAATAGTAATTGAGGGTGGCATATTCCATTAGAGCAGCAAAAACGAACAAGAAGCACACGGTCACAAAGAGGTCCATGGCTGTCACATAGGACACTCGTGGCAGGGACTTCCTGGCTATGGTGCTGAGCGTGGTCATGGTGAGCACTGTGGTGATGCCTGCGTGAGGGGAGACAGTCATCAGATGGTGAGAAGATGCCATGTGACAAAAACAAGAGATCACTCTACTGCCCCACTCTACTGTGACTGCTTAACAAGAATCCTTCTTGGCCACTGCATACCTTATGTAATCTTACTTTTAATTTTAACATCTATACAATTTGTAGGAGGTTACAATAACATTTCTTATAATCATCTTCACAATAACATTAAAATGTGGACAAGCTCTGACTTATATTCAACTTGAGATTTTTCTTCTGTATGATGGCATAAAAGTGACATGCATTCAGTAGAAATTGTACTTTAAATTCTAAGGTAGATTTTTTTCCTTGAGTAGCAATATGCAGTAGATACACTCTCTCAATGCCCAGGACTGTCAGTGAGTTGCAGCTGCCAATCAGCCAGAGGATCACCAGAGGGAGCCCCTAAACACTTTACAGTGCACTCCGTTGCTGAGCTAGAAAGTTCAGTAGGTTAGGCATATTAAATACATTTTTGATGTATGATTTTTCAACCAATGATGGGATTTGGGGGGACATATCTCCATTGTACGTTGAGAATCCTCTGTACCTGAATTGACATATTGTTTGATTTAGTAATTTTCTTATTGTTTGACATTTTGTCTTTTAAATACTTTTAGTGAAGATACAATTTGCAGTTTTCCTGTGCATTCTGTGCTATTTCACATCTCACTTTTCTCGCACCAGATAAACCCTTTTCTTTCCCTCTCCTCTCCTCCTATCTTCCAATGTGTAAACTCCCACCATTCTTCAAGCCGGAGTCCAGCACCACTCTTTCTGAGCTGCCTTCCCTTGACAACATCCCAGACAGAGTTGATGATATGAGCATCTGCCATCTGTGCCACCCTTGTACTCTGTGTACTACTTTTTTTTTGCATTATCACAGTGAATTGCATCTGTCTTTACATGTCTGTCTCCTCAAATAGATTGTGTGATCTTCAAAAGCAAAACTGGATCTTTCTCATCTTCATTTGCCTATCACCCAGTATAGAAGCCAGCACATTTTAGGTACTTAAGTGAACATTTTGCTTCGAGTGAATTAATTAATTGATAATACTCACTATTGGTTTGACTATTCAATTGATAATACTCACTATTGGTTTGACTTTTACTATTTCATATAGGAGAGTCAGCACTAAAGGAGTAATCAAAGACTGTGGAAATAATTAAGTTAGCAATGGATAGTTTAAAAGGAAAACAAATTAAAAAGGGGATGAAGACCATTGAACATGAAGAGTGAAATAAAGAAGACTATAACATGAGGCATGTTAAGGTTCAGTGCCTCCCGGAGGGACTCCTTGGGAAATCAGCCCTGCCAGAGCTATGGAATGGGGAAGGTCAGCATCATGGACCACAGAATCATAGGCACCTGGATGTTAACACTGCATTGCAGTACTACTCAGAATTAGGTACACATGACAGATGAATGACATGACTTCTCACCTTGCAGTTTTGTCACCCTCTTTTAGTTCTTCCCTGCACCTGCTCAAGGCATTTCGGCCAGGGGAAGTTGTGGAATGAACTCAAAGCACCAGGGTGGACAGTTTGACTTAGCATATTGACTTGGAAGTCCAAGCTCTCAGCCTTGCCCTGCACCTTCTCTGTATTTGGTAATGGGGTATCAATTATCTTCTTTGATTTTTTTTAAAAGCAATATAATAAGAATAGGATCCCTGTCTCTCCTTTACATGAGGAAACTGCAACGCTTCATTTAAAAATGCTTTGTGAGTGGGACTGCAAATTGGCACAACAGTTATGGAAATTGGTATGGAGATTCCTCAGAAAACTTGGAATGGAACCACCATTTGACCCAGCTATCTCACTCCTAGGTTTATACCCAGAGGATTTAAAAATCAGCATACTGCTATAATGATACAGTGGCATCAGTGTTTATAGCAGCTCAATTCACAATAGTTAAACTATGGAACCAACCTAGATGCCCTCCAACAGATGAACGGATAAAGAAAATGGGATACATATACAAAATGGAATATTATTCAGCAGGGTGTGTGTGTGTGTGTGTGTGTGTGTGTGTGTGTGGTGTGAATGAAGGGATTGTGCAGAGGGGAGTGTTGGGAGGGGAGGCTATTTGGGGATGGGAAGGACAGTGGAATGAGATGAACATTTCTACCCTATATACATGTATGATTATACTAATGGTGAGACTCTGCATCATGTTCAGCCAGAAGAAGGAGAAGTTGTGCTCCATTTGTGTACAATGTTTAAAAATCATTCTACTGTCATGTATAACTAATTAGAACAAATTAAAAAAAAAAAACTTTAAAAAATGCTGTGTAAACTGGAAAAGTCTAATTAATTCCAGATGTATGTTTATGGGAAAAGCTCTTATAATAAATATCTAATTTAACCTAAAACATGGGGTGACCATGTCATGTCTAAAAGAAATTAAAAATCTTAGTTTCTATTTCAGTGAAGTTATCTATTTTGTTCATCATTTGTCACTACTGGCCAGTATTCTGTGTGCAGCTAGTGGCTACCTCTCTGTTCCACTTTGCCATCCCCCCAGCCCCTGCAACCCACACAAACTATACAATGCTGAGAAGAAAATAAAAATTTGGATGGGGAAGTCTTGCTTAGTATGGTATCTAAGCTACACAGCCAACAGGGTTACTCTTGAAAGATCCTGGTTGGCACTGTAGCCTCATCTCCCTCCAATGGGAAAGCACCAGGGCAATCAGAAGGAATCTCAGGTGGTTCTAACACATGTATGATTATTTGGAAAACATCTGGCCTCAGAGGACCCCAGAGCAACTTTCTTTTTGACCTCAGAGGGATGGATAAGTACAAATTCTCACATCTCATTTAAGTCAGAAACCAAGAGTATTTTTGGTGTCCCCCACTTCAGGGCAATGCACTTGAGACCTGTTCAAATTGCTGCTGTACTAATAGTTTGTTCCTTTCTATTGGGAAGCAATGTTCATTCCATGTCCGGGTTGTGCCAGAGTTTCTTAATCATTATTTGTTGAGGCATTTTCCTGTCAGGATTTGGCTATTACAAACACAGTTTTCATGAAGATTTGTGTTAACCTACCTATATTATCCTACTTGAAGTGACTTTCTTATAGACAGATCATAGTTGGTTCTTGTTTTATCTTTTATTCACTGTAAACTTCTTTTTAATTGGTATATTCTGATGATTTATGTTGGATAATTATTAATGTTTAAGACATACAATCTCATTTAGTTTTGTGTTTTCTGTTTGTTCACTATTTTTTGTCTTGTTTTTTTTTTCCTGCCCTCCCGTGGGCACTGCACCAATTTGTAGAATTCAGTCTTAATCTGTCTACTTTTTATTTGTTTATTTATTTTTTGCCACCCTAGGCTGAACCCACAATTCTGTGCCCACTGAGTTATATACTTAGTCCCCACAGTGTTTATGAATGTGTCACTTTGTGTAATTTTTAGTGGTTCCTCCGAGTATTAAATATATTATACGTACATAATTTATAACCTATTGTCAGGTTTGCCAGTTTGAATAAAGAGAAGAAGATTCTAATGGTCTTAATCATTTCCCTGAAATATTTAAGAACTACAGCAGGCAGCATTATGATTTTGGGCTTCAACCATTACACAGATATTAGAAAACTCAAAAGGAGACTGAAAATCTATTTTATTTACTCATATTTTCACTATTTGCAATAGTTTTTCTGCCTTCTTGTTCCAAATATTGTTTGCTCATTATTTCATTTCTATTTCAAGAAGTATTTTTGGCCATTATTCTGAGGTGCATCGATTGCTGACAGATAATATGTGGACTTCTTCTTTTTCTGGAAAGATAGTCTCATTGGGTGTAGAAAACTGAGTAAACAATCTTTTCCTTTCAGTAGTTGGCCTTCATGATTTGGGTGAGAAATTGTCATTCATGCTGTGTTTTCTTTTCTAGAGATAGTGCCATTAAAAAAAAAATTCTTTGTATTTATTTTGTTTGGGGCTTCCTTAGCTTCTTGAATATGCAAATTTATACCTTTTGACAAATTTGAGAATTTTTTAGCCATTATTCCTTTGAATACTTTTTCAGCTTCATCCTCTTCTCCTGGAATTTCAGTGACACAATGTTAGGCTGTTTCTGATCATCTCACAAGTCCCCAAACTCAATTTATTGGTATCTTTTCAGTCTATTTTTCTCTGTGTTGCTTAGATTAAGTAATTTTTTTCTTGTCCTACGTCAAAGTTCACTGATTCTTTCCTTGGTCCCTCCATTCTATTTTGAACATTCTCCTAAGTTCTTAATTCTGGTATGGATATATTTGATTCTAAAACTTTCACTTGGTTCTCCTTATATCCTCTACTTCCTTGATGAAGCTTTTTATTTTATTTTATTTTATTTTACATAGCTCTTGTGTATCTGTAATTCATCACTGAAGCATGTTTATGCTGCTACTTTAAAATCCTGGTCAGATAATTCTATCTGAGTCATCTCAATATTGACATAGTTTCTTGTATAATGGGTAATATTTGATGGTATCTTGGATATTCTGGGTATTATTTTATGAGATTAAAAATAATCATTCTGCTACAAAATTGAAAAGTACCCATACTTACAGCATATTTAGACCAGAACCCTTTAATACAAAGATTCATAAATAAAAATTTCTGTACATCAAAAACATTAAAAACGAAAAAAGGAGAAACTATACATTGGAGATGATACCTTTATTGTGTATAAAAAACAAATCTTCATGATGTTATATTATTGTCTCCCCTAGCAAGAAATACCTGTTTGGTCAAGGTATTTTTATGTCATAAATGTTTCAAAGTTTTCTTCATTGGAGGTTTTTGTTTCTAGTCTAAGAAGTTTTTATTTAACCCAATATCAAACTCGTATTTTTTATTCAAGAATATTCACATTTTTAGCTTTTCCATAAATCTTTGATCCATGTAAATTATTATTTTTTTGAGTATGGTGAAGACACAAGTTTAAGTCCATTTATATGATGAATTTTGGGTTCTATAATATCAAATAGTCACAGACATGGATAGTATTGTGTAGATCCTCTATCCTTTTACTGATTTTTTGTGTGTGCTTGTTTATGCATATTCCTTATCCACAGGAGTTATATCCTAGGACCTCTAGTGGATACCCGAAACTGCAGATATTACCAGACCTTATATACACTGTTTTTTTCCTATACAGACAAATCTATGATAAAGCTTTATTTATAAACTAGGCACAGTAAAAGATTAATAATAACTAATAAGAGTGTAGAACAATGACAGCAATACACTATGATAAATTATCTGAATGTTGTTTTTCTCTTAAATATCTCATTGCACTGTACTAAACTTCCTCTTCCTATGATAATGTGAGATAATGCAATGTCTACATGATGAGATGAATTGAGGTGAGTGATATGGGTGTTGTGATTTCAGCATATGTCTGAAATCATTATTAATAATGATTTGTTTTTAAAAAGTCAGTTATTGACTTTTTTATTATCAATAACTTTCATCTTTTCACTTAAAGTAAGTATTTTTTGGCTTCTCATTGGTATATTCGAATTTCCAGTGTTACTACTTTTGCATTTTGAGGCATAGCTAAGTAAAATAAGAGTTATTTGAATAGAAGTAATTTGATACTATTATAAGTGACCTGATAACTGAGATGGCTACTAAGTGACTAATGGGTGAGTAGTATATACACTATGAAAATTCTGGACAAAGGGATGATTCACATTCCAGGTGGGATGAGATGATATGGTGCAAGATTCATTATGCTACTTAGAATGGTGTACAATTTAAAACTTATAAATTATTTATTTCTGGGATTTTTCAATTACTATTTTTGGATTATTGTGACTGTGGGCCACTGAAACCATAGAAAACAAAACTGAATTGGGGCTTGCTCATAATGATAATTAATATTTGTAATTATGAGGATATAAATCCAATAGTAGTTGCTAAATTTATGTTCATATCATTGCCTGCTGATTTACCAATTCTATCATGTATGTTCTATAAGAATGTGAAACTAATATTGGCAGAAGATATTGCAGGGTAATGAATCTCAGCAAATAGTACTTTACTGTCAAATAAAGAATAAAAAAAATCACAGGGAAAACATAATGTAATATGAGAGACTTTGTGAGGATTTGGAATTGAGGCAGCTTCCCCTTTTCTGAAGAAAATATTTTTTTTTGGGAAATAACCTCTATATTCATTATCATACTATTACCTGTTACCACAAATAAAAACATTGAAAGCTAGGTGAAATTTTAACCATAAAAACCTGATATAAAATGTTGAATAAGCTGACATTACTATAATTTTGTGTTTTATTAAGAGGATTTTGAGGACCACAGAAAACTCATGAAAAGACTGAGATTTCATATGTGGATTATAGCTGGAAAGAATGATTATTTTCTTATTTGCTGCCCAAATTGCTAAGTAGAACTTCTTTTATTGAGAAACTATTTTACCAATATAGTGTCTTTCATCCTCAAATGTCTGCAGCAAGTTTTATTTTCTGAAACTGAATGAGACTTTCAAGTTGGCAGGTTATAAGATGAAACTATATTTTTTTTGTGATGGCATTAATCTTAAGGCTTAGTAACAGATTATGCAGGTGATTTATTCCAAATACCTAATCTGTCTTAATTTAAGTAGCACACATGAAATTTCATTGTCAGAAAGAACAACCTAACTTAGATACTTCAAAAAATATTCTAAGCATGGTTAAGTAACTCTCAAATTAGATCAATTGCTTTGAACCAAATCTCTTTAATTGTAGGTATCTTATAAATATTTCTGAATTAAAATCATACAAAATGGTGGAATACTTTTTTTTTTACACTTACCTAATGCTGTTCTTGCTGGTGTAGCATCTTTTTTAATCCAAAATGACACCCAGGATAAAACCACAGTCAGTATACAGGGAATGTATGTCTGAATAGTAAAGTATCCCATTCTTCTGCTCAATTCAAAATATATAGTCATGACAACATAATCCCCTGTAACAAAATATTGTCAAAATTAAGGCAACTTTCATGGGTTAACAAATGGTTTGGGGGAACTAATTATAATGTGTTTTGAAAACAAAAAAACAAAAACGAATGACTTGTATAAAAAATGTACAACTACAACAATATCAAATCAGGTAAGTGATCAAAATGTTGGTATTCTCAAGCTGAACTTTTGTAGTATTCATGGCTTTGCATGGCATTTCTGGTTTACTGTAAAGGACACAAAAATAGACATATTAATTTCTTGAGGTGACAGACATGCACAAATACCCCTTGACAGGCCTCGACTTGATGAACTATCATTACCAGGTTCTATTTGTATGTTGCATGTTTAAAATCAAGGGTAGTAACCATCAAACAGATCCAAGGTCATTTTAAGGAGAATTTCCCCCCAATAATAAAACAGCTATCATATCATACATAAACTTGTGTAACCATCTTGCCTTTTTATTGTCATATCATGAATTTCAGCTTAACAACTTTATACTTCTCATTTTATTTACAAATTTTATATTTATCTCATCCTTTCCTGACTGTAGCACTTAGGCTGTGCCCACCCAAAAGAAAAAAGAATTTCAAGGCACTCTGCTCTCTTCTACTAAAGCAAAGCCATGCCATAAAGGGGTTGGGAACAATGTAGATGTTACTAGAGATTCCATAATTTTCCCTGGGGGTAACATTTTTATGTGCTATATGTTTCATACTAAAATATCTCTATTCATTTATTTCCTAGGTAACCTCCTTCTGAGATTTTGTTTCAACTCATCTTCCTCATTCAAATCCTTCACCTCTCAGTCTGCTGGAAAAAGCCTTGCAGTGTCTGCAAGTCACCATGTCCAGAATACAATCCCCCCACCGCCCCCCCCACCAACCCCCTCCCCCATATCAGGTTCTCATTCTGCTCTCTTGCTCAAGGTGGCAACCCAGAAGACATCTTGGATTATTCCTCCTTTCTTCTTAATGGTTTCAGCTGCTACATCATCCTCAAATCCTCCAGGCTACCATCTCCTGTCATAATCCCAAGATTGTTTTTTAATGACAGTCTTGTTCTGCTCCAAACCATTCGCAAAGAGAATCTATTATAATGCAAATACCATCATATTCTTCCCTTTATAATCCTTCACCAATATCTTGTCCTTGTACAATCATCACATTTTTACTGTGGTCCACAACATTCTGTATTAAACACTCCTTGTTCTCTATATTCTTGGCATCTATCCCAGTCCTCAGACCTGCCGGGATCTTTCCACAAAGGCCACTGATTCCCTCCCCTTCTGCCTACAATGTTCTTCTTTTCCCTTTTTCTGTATCCAAGTAGCTACTATTTTTTAATATCAGCTTAAAATTTACTTAGTTCCCTAAGAAGCCTTTCCTGTCCCCTCCTTCCCAAGAGTTCTAATGATTTATTTATTTATTTTTATTTTTGGTACTAACCAGGATTGAGCACAGAGGTGCTGTACGGAGCTACGTTTTCAGCCCTTTTAAAATCTTTTTACTTTGAGACAAGAGTTTAAGTTGCTAAGACCTCTCTCAAACTTGTGATCCTACTACTTTAGCCTTCCCAGTCACTTTGATGAGAGGCATGTGCCACCCTGCCCCATGATGATTTTGTTTTTATAAAACAATAAAATGTTGAAGATATAGAATTTATTACTCTTGTTCACTAGTACTGCTTAGTGACAAGCAACCAGTTAGTGTTTGCTGAGTGAACTGATCATCACCATAGCCCCAGTTTTACATAAAAAAATGACAGGTAAACTTGAGCCCACATGAAAACTTTCAATAAACTAGAATATTTTTGCAGGATGTGTTATTCTATTATAGTAACATTCAGGACTGTTGGTAGAAACCTCGATTTTGAGATCATTTTCTGAGAAACATTTACAATTTTTGCAAATTATAATTTCAGTATAAAACAATCAGGATAATTAACCTGAAGCAATAAAATACCTCAAAAATAGGGCTGGGGTTGTAGCTCAGTGGTAGAGCACTTGCCTAGCATGTGTGAGGCCCTGAGTTCAATCCCTAGCACCAAATAAAACTAAATAAAAATTGTGTAAACTAAATAAAGTATTGTGTCCATCTACAACTAAAAATATAGTTTTTAAAGACCCTCAAAAATATTTTTCTAAATATTGTTAATGTCAGAGTTATATCATTTTCTGGGAAAATATTATTGAATTATGTTATTCGTTTAAAAGAGAGAGAGGAGAGAGAGAGAAAGAATTTTTTAATATTTATTTTTCAGTTTTTGGTAGACACAACATCTTTATTTTATTTTTATGTGGTGCTGAGGATTGAACCCAGCGCCCCGCGCATGCCAGGCGAGCACATTACCAGCCCTGAATTGTCTTATTTTTAAAATGTGCATTAATTTTTACATAAAATTTAAGTCAAAACTGTATGAGAAAACAAACAAAAATAAAATGTAATGAATCACATCTAAGAGTTATGAAGACAGCCCAAATGGAATTTTCAAAGAATGGAATAATTTATGAAATTACCACCATTGTAAGTTCCTGAAGAAGAACCAGATGGACAATTCCAGACCCGACGCACGTTTCAGCTTAGCAAATCCATCTGCTTTCTCACTACTTGAGGGGATGAGACTCTTCACATCAGTGATCAGCATATTTATTTGCCTAACTAAGAGGTCTGCTTGGATGACCTATAGTCAGCCATCTCCCTGGACACTGGGTACCTTGACTTCCTTTCCATTTTATGACTATGGTTCTGCCTTACCTGGAAATAGGTGATTTGCAGGAGAAAGGCAGCAGCAGCAGCGGTATTGAGTATAAAAGTGAAGGTGTACATGACACTGTCAATGATGGAGGGAGGCATCAGAGTCCCAGTGATGGGTACATGAATGGAGGTGTGCATGACTCTGTCATAGTGCAAGGAGGCAGCAATGCCAAAATCCTGTTGTTGTTCATGAATGGGAAGCTGTAAAATAACTCCTGAATATGGTTCCTCTAAACATATTCAGAGGAAAGCCTGAAGCTGAAGCATAGATTTCAAGTTCCAAATAACTTGCTTTAATTATTTTATTAAGCAGCAGTTAATCCTACACAATTGCCCTTTAGCACTGAATCTATTAATAATAATTTACCCCAGGTCAAGGGTGACTATAAAGAGAAATTATAAAGTTGTTTTGAAGTATCACAGTGAAATAGTTAGGACTTTCCTTTCCTTTTCTTTCCTCTTCTTTCCTTCCTTTATTCATAAATTCTCTATCTGAAAGTTCCTAGAACTAAGGACAGAATGATACACATTTACTCTGATTCCAAGAAGGACTCTCCACAAGGTCAATTTCAGACAAGTCGGAGACAGCAACAAAGCCAGTCGTGTGGGACATTACAGTTGGTCTAGGTTGGATGACTGCTTGTTATTGGACAATTATACTTCAACTTGGGAAGATTCATGAAAGAAAAGGACAGTTTCCAGGGAGGTAGTGGATGGAAGAGCAATTTCCAGAAGAGGGGATACCATTCACAAAAGAAAGATAATGTGCTCGCCAGAGATTATAGAGATAATCTGACCCAGAAATATCATGAACAATTTTCTAGTCATTTTATTTAAATAAATCTATATTAAGGTATATGCACATGTTTTGCAGAGAAAGTAAATTTATTCTACACTTATGTTTTATGCAATTACTTTATTATAAAATCAAAGGGCATGGTGACTTTAAAGACCTTTAAATTTCACTGAATTTTACGCCTGAAATAACATCATATTAATGAATCCTTAGGCAGATAATAAATTGTTACTGAAAAAGGAAGGTGATAGGAGTGTTAATTTTTTCTAAAAGTGTTCAGCAACTGCTGGATAACATCCTTTGGGCTATATTCACAAAATAACATGTATTTAAGCAAACTTACAATATTAAAATTCTAGGTTTCTGCCTTAAAATTTGCCAACAAAAATTATCCTCTTTTTAAAAGCATAATCTTGTTTCAGGAAGAGATATCTTCCCAGAAAATTAAGAAAAGAAAAATTTTTATAGAGCTCTTTAATATATTTCTAATGTGGATGTCTTTGAGATAATCCCATCTGAATTTGTCATCCCATTTTAGCGGAAAGGTTGGAGGCTCATAAATGTGTTTTCAACATTGTAACTGCTCCAGGGTCTCTAGCCACATCTTCCTGGATGCCTCAGCATTGTTCTCAGAGTATACCATTTCAAAGCCCTTATTTATTCTGTGTCACAGATACCCTCAATTCTTTGTTACACCTTAGGCATCAAAAACATCCTTTGAATTTCTTGTCAATATCACTTCATTTCTTCTTCTGATGGTTCTCTCTTCTCTTCCTCTTACCTACCCTGGAGTCTTTTGAAAATCATCTAATGTCACTACTCCTTAAAGAAAAAAAAAGCCACCCAGACCTGATAATTAGCAAGCAATACATAGCATAGTAAAAGCTTCCATTTAATCTTAAATTTTCCTTGGGAAGGCATTTTTAAATTTTCTTTATGGCACACATTCATGCAAAAAGGCCTTAATTTTAGGGAAATTGAATTCATCAACCTATTGTTTTATTGTGGTGTCCTTTATGACATCCTTGAGAATTTGTTCTGTGAGCCAACATCAAATTTTCTTGTGTAAGTTTTACTTTTCTCTCCAGTTGTTCTTACATGCAATGGAGTCTTCTCCAAATTGAGTTTTTAAAATTCTATGATTTGTTGTCACAGCATTACTACTAGGTAACTACAAATATGTAGATTTGTGCTTGTTACAATTATGACATGCTTTCAACCATTCTAACGGTGGCAGACAATGCCCAAGGTGCCCTCCTATTAGTGATGCATTTGTGTAATTCCTTCCACCTGAGTGTGGCCAGAACCTGTGATTTGTTTGTAGCCAATCAAACACAACCTACCCCTGTCTTGATTAAATTACTTTATATGGAAATGGTGAATGTATTATGTAAGTGTAATTATGATAACAAACCTGCTGATTTCAAGTTAACACAGAAAGAGATTACCC